ATCGAATTCCAACCGGGCAAAAAGGGCTCCAGGGCGGGTGTGATCCCTTTCAAGGCACGACAACACCCTAGAGCCGACAAGCCCTTCCGGTGTAGTCGATTTCCAACCGGGAAAAAAAGGGCTCCAGGGCGGGTGTGAGCCCTTTCGAGGCACGACACCGCCCTAGAGCCCACAAGCCCTTCCGGTGCAGTCGATTTCCAACCGGGCAAAAAGGGCTCTAGGGCGGGTGTGAGCCCTTTCGAGGCACGACACCGCCCTAGAGCCCACAAGCCCTTCCGGTGTAGTCGATTTCCAACCGGGCAAAAAGGGCTCTAGGGCGGGTGTGAGCCCTTTCGAGGCACGACACCGCCCTAGAGCCCACAAGCCCTTCCGGTGTAGTCGATTTCCAACCGGGCAAAAAGGGCTCCAGGGCGGGTGGGAGCCCTTTCGAGGCACGACACCGCCCTAGAGCCCACAAGCCCTTCCGGTGTAGTCGATTTCCAACCGGGCAAAAAGGGCTCCAGGGCGGGTGTGAGCCCTTTCGAGGCACGACACCGCCCTAGAGCCCACAAGCCCTTCCGGTGTAGTCGATTTCCAACCGGGCAAAAAGGGCTCTAGGGCGGGTGCGAGCCCTTTCGAGGCACGGCACCGCCCTAGAGCCCACAAGCCCTTCCGGTGTAGTCGATTTCCAACCGGGCAAAAAGGGCTCTAGGGCGGGTGCGAGCCCTTTCGAGGCACCACACCACCCTAGAGCCAACGAGCATCCGGATATGACCGGATGGATCGGATGCCTTTTTTTCCCCCAGGGCACCGCACAACCCAGTACAAGGCAAGGCGAGCACCCAAGGGGCAAGCCCATCGGGTTCGCCCGATCGAACCCATCCGGATCCATCGATCGAACCCGTCCGGATCCGACCATCGAACCCATCCGGGTCGACTGACCGAACCCATCCGGATCCATCGATCCAACCCATCCGGATCGAACCAACGAAACCATCCGGATCCATCGATCGACCCCATCCGGATCGATGGGTCGAACCCATCCGAATCCAGCCCCATCCGGAACCGAATCGATCGACCGGACCCCATCCGGACCCGGGCCGATCGTCCGGACCCATCCGAATCCAGCCCCATCCGGATCCGGGTCGATCGACCGGGCCCCATTCGGACCCGAATCGATCGACCGGACCCATCCGAATCCAGCCCCATCCGGATCCGATTTCGATCGACCGGGCCCCATCCGGATCCGAATCGATCGACCGGACCCCATCCGGACCCAAATCGATCGACCGGACCCATCCGAATCCAGCCCCATTCGGATCCGAATCGATGGACCGGGCCCCATCCGGACCCCAATCGATCGACCGGACCCATGCGGGTCGATCGATCGAACCCATCCGAATCCGACCGCATCCGGATCCGAATCGATCGATCGGACCCCATCCGGACCCGGGCCGATCGTCCGGACCCATCCAAATCCAGCCCCATCCGGATCCGGATGGATCGACCGGGCCCCATTCGGACCCAAATCGACCGACCGGACCCATCCGAATCCAGCCCCATCCGGATCCGATTTCGATCGACCGGGCCCCATCCGGACCCCCATCGATCGACCGGACCCCATCCGGACCCGAATCGATCGACCGGACCCATCCGAATCCAGCCCCATCCGGATCCGATTTCGATCGACCGGGCCCCATCCGGATCCGAATCGATCGACCGGACCCCATCCGGACCCAAATCGATCGACCGGACCCATCCGAATCCAGCCCCATTCGGATCCGAATCGATGGACCGGGCCCCATCCGGACCCCAATCGATCGACCGGACCCATGCGGGTCGATCGATCGAACCCATCCGAATCCGACCGCATCCGGATCCGAATCGATCGATCGGACCCCATCCGGACCCGGGCCGATCGTCCGGACCCATCCAAATCCAGCCCCATCCGGATCCGGATGGATCGACCGGGCCCCATTCGGACCCAAATCGACCGACCGGACCCATCCGAATCCAGCCCCATCCGGATCCGATTTCGATCGACCGGGCCCCATCCGGACCCCCATCGATCGACCGGACCCCATCCGGACCCGAATCGATCGACCGGACCCATCCGAATCCAGCCCCATCCGGATCCGATTTCGATCGACCGGGCCCCATCCGGTTCCGAATCGATCGACCGGATCCCATCCGGACCCAAATCGATCGACCGGACCCATCCGAATCCAGCCCCATTCGGATCCGAATCGATGGACCGGGCCCCATCCGGACCCCAATCGATCGACCGGACCCATGCGGGTCGATCGATCGAACCCATCCGAATCCGACCGCATCCGGATCCGAATCGATCGATCGGACCCCATCCGGACCCGGGCCGATCGTCCGGACCCATCCAAATCCAGCCCCATCCGGATCCGGATGGATCGACCGGGCCCCATTCGGACCCGAATCGATCGACCGG